GGGTGATGGTCCCTCCGTTCACACCCCACACCGGGAGCGGGGAACGGCGGGGGCCACACACACCCCCCGCCGCCGCTCACTCCCCTCCCCGCCCGCAGGAGCCCGAGTGGGGGCCCGAGGCCTGGCAGCCGGTGCCGCCGCAGCCCCTCGGTCCCCTCCCGGGCCAAGGGGAGAAGGCGGCGGCGGCGGTGCCCGAGATCTCGCTGTGGACGGTGGTGGCGGCGGTGCAGGCGGTGGAGAGGAAGGTGGAATCGCAGGCCCGGCGGCTGCTCAGCCTGGAAGGGAGAGCCGAGACGGCGGAGAAGAAAGTCTCCGGGCTGGAGAAAGCCGTCCTGGATTTTGGCAACCGGTTGGAACGGAAATGGGCCGCCTTGGCCGCCCTGGTGCAGGAGAACACGCGGCGGCTGGAGCACGTCGAGAGGCAGCTCCAGCACCGGGGGCGGTGGGCGGCCGGGAACGGACCCGGCACCGGGGGGGACGAGGCCAAGGTAACGGGGGACGTGCCCACGGGGACAGGGATGAGCCTCGGTTACCGGGGACGTGCCCAAAGTGACAGGGACAAGCCCAAAGTAATGGGGATGTGCCCTTGGTGGCAAATGGGGACGAGCCTCGGTTACCGGGGACGTGCCCAAAGTGACAGGGATGAGCCCAAAGTAACAGGAATGTGCCCACGGTGGCAAACGGGAACAAGTCCCAGCTAATGGGGACATGTCCAAGGTGACGAGGACGAGCCCCAGCTAACGGGGACGTGCCCATGGTGACAGGAACAAGCCCCAGATAACGAGCACACACCCGAGGTGACAAACGGGGACCAGCCCCAGCCGCTGGGGATGTCCCCAAGGTGATGGGGAGGAGCCCAAGGTGATGAAGGGGGACCAGCCCCAGCCACCGGGGATGTCCCCAAGGTGCCTCCTGCCCTTTCAGGTGCCAGCGCCGTGCGAGGACGAGGTGGCCAATTTGCCGGAGCCGGAGTGGGGCGGCTCAGAGACCCGGCAGAAGGAGCTCTACAGGACGGTGACAAAGGGGACTTGTGAGGCCACCGTGTCCCTCGGTGAGGATGGGTCTCTGGGTGACACGTTGTCATCTGGGTGTCGGGAGGAGAACAGGGGGCGAGAGGTGACAACTTCACGCGGTGAAGGTTGGGTGCCCCTCGGTTGTGGGTGACAGTTGTGTCCCCGTGAGCGGGAGCACGGTGGGAGTGGTGGGGATTTTGGGTGACGTCCCCGTGCTGTGTCCAACAACCTGCCTTCCTGCAACCATTTTTTGGGGGCAGGACAGGGGCCGTGCAGCCGCCGCCTGCAGGGGTTCGCTGCAAACGGCTCCAAATTTTAGCACTAATTCTTTTGGGCTGGAATTTGAACGGCTGGGTGGCTTCCTGGGGGAACTGAAGGGGGACCAGCCCCAGCCACCGGGGATGTCCCCAAGGTGCCTCCTGCCCTTTCAGGTGCCAGCGCCGTGCGAGGACGAGGCGGCCAATTTGCCGGAGCCGGAGTGGGGCGGCTCGGAGAACCGGCAGAAGGAGCTCTACAGGACGGTGACGAAGGGGACTTGCGAGGCTGCCGTGTCCCTCGGTGAGGATGGGTCTCTGGGTGACACGTTGTCATCTGGGTGTCGGGAGGAGAACAGGGGGCGAGAGGTGACAACTTCACGCGGTGAAGGTTGGGTGCCCCTCGGTTGTGGGTGACAGTTGTGTCCCCGTGAGCGGGAGCACGGTGGGAGTGGTGGGGATTTTGGGTGACGTCCCCGTGCTGTGTCCAACAACCTGCCTTCCTGCAACCATTTTTTGGGGCAGGACAGGGGCCGTGCAGCCGCCGCCTGCAGGGGTTCGCTGCAAACGGCTCCAAATTTTAGCACTAATTCTTTTGGGCTGGAATTTGAACGGCTGGGTGGCTTCCTGGGGGAACTGAAATAATTTGGCTGCTTTCTCTGATGGTCCTGGGAACCCTGAGCCGCTGCTCTGGGAGCCCCAGGACCCCTCGGAGGACCCCACAATTCCCGCAGCTGTGAGAGCGGCTCTTTATCGAGGGAGGGGGGCTGGTCCCCACTTCAGCAGTTCCTTCTGCTGCTTCCTTCTTCCCAGGGCCCGGAGAAGCTGGTTCCAAACCCTTTCTGCTGCCGCCGCCTGAGGATGGGGAGGATTCGGGTGCGAGGAACCAGGAGCTGCTGGAGAAGGGAGGTGAGTCCCAGGGAAGGCTGAGACCCAGCGCTATCGACACACCCGGGCAGGGTCTGTCCCTGCTACTGCTGCCTCCCCACAAAGGTGCCCACAAGGGTTGGATCCTGACCCCTCTGCCACCCGGGGGGTGAGCAGAGCCCATCATGTCCCTGCCGGGAGCGTTTCCAGCCCTGCCCTGGGGCCAGGAGCTGTCGGGAGGTTAAGCCGAGCCATCGGGGCCTCCTTAAAACTTTTCCAACCGAATCTTTTAAGCCCCAAAGAGCCCCTGTGCCAAAAAGAGCAGAAAATGGGGAGACCCGGGGCGGGGCTTTAGCGTGAGGGTCACTCTGCAGCTGCACACCCCCCGACAGACCCTCCCTCCTGCTCCTGGAAGGTTTTGCTGGGATTCTTTTCCCCAAATTCACCCAAATTCACCGAGTTCCTCCCAGGACTTGGCGGCCTCAGTTTTGCCTTCAGGTTTCCTCAGTTTGGGGTGGTTTTTTTACGAGTATTGCATTGCCCGTCCATCAAATGTCCTTGGGGTCCAACAGGTTACCCCCAAGAGGTCCCAATGCCCCCTCTGCCCCGTGTCCTCCCGTTTTGCTCTTGGTAAGAGCCTTCCTGCTCCCTTTCTAAGGGCACGTTTGATGGTTGGTCTCACCAATGTGCTCCAGGGAGAGCTCAGCTCCGGCTGGGAATGAATTCCGTTCCCTGCCAGGAATGAATTGCTCTGTCTGTCTCTCGGCAGGTGAGAAGATCGTGATCAAGACCGAAGAGCAGCAGCCGCAGGAGGAAGGAGCTGAGATCCTGGCCCTGCCGCCGGTGAGGCTGGAGGAGGAGGAGGTTCCCCCCAGCCAGGAGCAGCCCCTGCCCTGGCAGAGCCACGGCGCTTTGGAGGAGGAGAAGGCGGCAGGAGAGGCCGTAGGGGACTTCTGCCCCCACGGGGCTGCCCAGCCCGAATTCAAGCCCGTGGTGGTGCCGGTGGAAGCCCACCCTGCCCCAGGTTTGCCTTTCCCGGCGGAGCACGTGCTCGGCGTGGGGACGGACCAGCCCTTCGCCCTGCCCCAGGGAATGCCGCTGGGAGAAGACACCACCTTGGAGATGGCCTCCTCCTCCGAGCTCCATCCCTGCTCCGCCGGGGAAGACCCTCACGGCCTCCCCTCGGGCTGGAAGAGCGTCCGGCTGAAACGCAACCTCCTGAGCCACCAGGCGAGGAAGAGCAACGGCTCCTTCATCTGCCCGGCCTGCGGGAAGAGCCTGGCCCACCACGCGGCCCTGCTGCGGCACCAGCGTCTCCACACCGGCGAGAGGCCCTTCCAGTGCCCGGCCTGCGGCAAGAGCTTCAACGAGAAGTCCAACCTCAACAAACACTACCGCATCCACACCGGCGAGCGGCCCTACCGCTGCCCGGCCTGCGGCAAGGGCTTCATCCAGAAGCACCACCTCCAGAAGCACCAGCGCATCCACGGGGGGCAGCTGAGGGGCGGGTGGCCAAACCGGCCGGCCCGGGCCAGCGCCGCTGGGGAACGGCTCTACCGCTGCATCGAGTGCGCCGAGAGCTTCCCCCAAAAATCCTCGCTGGAGGAGCACCAGCGCCGGCACACCCAGCAGCGGCCCTTCCAGTGCAACGGCTGCACCAAGAGTTTCCGCCACCGCCAGTCCCTGAAGCACCACCAAAAAATCCACGCCGTGGCCAGCTCGCCTGGTGTCAGCTTGCCCGCCGTCCCCGAGCAGGAGAACAGCCCCTGCAAAGCCTTCACCCAGGACAATCCGTAGCCCGAGGGCTGGAGAAGGGAAGGGGCTGGTGGCACCACCACGGGGTTGGTGGCACCCTGTGTGGGGCTGGTGGCACCGCCACAGGGCTGGTGGCACCACTGTTGGGCTTGTGGTACCACCATGGGGCTGGTGGCACCGCCACGGGGCTGGTGGCAACCCCATGGGGCATCACCATGGGACTGCTGGCACCGCCATGGGGCTGGTGGCAACCCCATGGGGCTCATGGCATCACCATGGGGCTGGTGGCACCACCGTGGGGCTCCCCACTGGAGGAGGAGGAGGATGGAGACAGGCTGATGGGCAGGGAAATGCACCGGGAGGTAAAAGACTGGCCCAAGAGGCAATGGAGAAGGTTTGACAACCAGGGCTGAGCCGGGTTGTGCCGCTGCCCCATGGAAGGGGGATCTGGCCCCAGAGCGGCTGCATCGGGCCCGGTGGAGCCGTCAAACTCAGGGTTATTTAAACAACTACCAGCGTGGGGGGGCCGTGGGGTGGCCCAGGAAGGGGCTGTTGTGGCCGGGCGGCGGCCAGTGTCATCGTGTTGTCCCCCCGAAGCTTCAATGGGGACAAGCTGGGAAGAGATTCGGATAAAAGCCTGGGGCTGACGCGGTCTCCTGTTGCGCTCTGGGGGGGTTGGTGGGGGGCAAG